CGGAGCGTGATGCGCATGAATTCATGGAGTCTGGGAACCAGTGAAAGCAGCTCATCGGAGCAATTACCATGGAAGTATTTGTAGAAAAGACAAAGAGAGGCGACGGCGCGTCTGTGAGAGAGTGACTGTAGACGAGACGCCAGATGAGGGCCAATTATATTACATATCCGTCTCTGGATCTTGTCAAGAACTCCGAGGTAAACAGAAGGTGCCCCAGACGAGATATGGCAGCAATACTCCATGCATGGGCGAATGGTTGATTTGTATATTTGAAGTATCGATTCCGGGAAGAAAAATTTCCTTGCGCGGCACAGTTTTTTTCCGTGTGCAGATTGCAAGCGTGGTTTAATCAATCACATAGATCTGCACGCAACGTCGTGTTGGCCTTTTTTATGTCAAACGGTTGAGTTTGTTATTGACAGCATCTGGTGTGGAAATACAAAGTTATGATAGAAAATACTTCACTAGCTTGGATTTAGTAAATATTAAATATGTCCAAAATATATGGTGAGATTTACATCCAATTCAATGAAGTATCTGCTAACTAGAGCCGACTCTTGGATCAAAAACAAGAGATTACGGCCATATCACGTTAAAACACCGGTTAACATAATATAACTGACGTTAAGCAACGTTAAGACTGGACGTTGCCTCTATGAGTGACCCCTTGGGAATACCAGGTGTTGTGAACTTGGATGTGTGGGTAGTGTAATATATAATGGCACGGAATTTTTAATTCTCATTGAGTTCTTTATATTCACTAATGCGCAAATACTCTTGGGAAACGTAGGAATCCGCCTCTTCTTCCCCTAGCTATGGGTTAATTAATAAGAACGTATCACTAAACGATTGTTATCTCAAAAACAATTCTTGCAATCTAAAATAAAAAAAAAAAATTAAATAAACTGCAAAGTGTTGATAAGCCGCAAAAAAACGAATCAGTCAATCAAAAGACACAGGGAATCCCCTGTTAATAAATAGAGAAAAGTAAAAGGCTAACATAATAACGAAATTTTTGAAATAGACTATATATTCTCTTTATGATAAAAATGTTTTGTGATATCAAAAAACACTCAACGAATACAGGTTGTCACTTTCGTAATGCTCGTTGAGACATTGTAATCGCAGTGTCAGACGTCTTCGAATAGCACTCGCGCTAATAGTTCAGTTATATGCCATGCGCGATACACGCTTAGGGGATCAGGTATCTTTCGATATATGACTGACGCAGTAGGTTGCCATTTCTTTGTACGGTAGATAAGTTTCAGTAGAACCCGGTCTGTCCTGCTAGTTACACATACCTGGGAGGAAGAAGAGAATTCTTACCTTTCCCAAGAGTATTAGCACGTAAGTGAATGTAATGGATTCGACTGGAATTCGAACTCGGCTCTCCGATTCCTCAGTCCGAGCTGCTATCCATTACCCCACTCATAGTACTTGCTCGATAATACTAATTCGAAAAGTAAATGCCGAATATTGATCCGAATAGTAATCCGTCTAGTGATCAGTATAAAGCAATAGTATAGTAAATAGGATAGAGATAGGGGATAGTGTAGTAAGAGTGATTCGTATAGTATTAGAGGATAGAATAGAAATGATGATCAAATAGACGCCACGCTAATTCCCATATATACCTTTCATTTGATCTAATTCAAAATGGACTCACCTGTGTTTGCTCTCTGGTGATCCGTGTTCAAACTCCAGTCGCGTAAGCGTCACTTTATTCTTATATAACACAACGCTGCCTCCTAATTCCACTTTGTAATGTTATAGATTTGAATAGAACTTCGCAAATTCACCAGAAAAAAGAATCAATGGTTTAATGTACAGTATTGATCGGCACGGAATTATTTACCAAGTAATGATGTAAAACTGAACTGAATTTATACATACAGAATAGGATATTAATCGAACATATTGAAATGGGTTTCGAAATAGAAAAAATATATTTATAATGCACAAAGGATGACAGAAATCACAAAGGTTGTCAATTATTATAAAGTAGAGATATAAACAAATATTTTAGTAAAGAAGGCAAGTAAAATGTTAGATGGATACTAAAGATCCAATTACACATTATCAAATTATAGAAAAAATAACGAAAATATCAAAATATCCGAAATATATGAAGAACAAATCACTAATAATAAAAAAGCTTATGAAATAATTAACGCTCGGGATAGTATTCACAAAAACATATCTAGCTACAAACTAGCTTAAACGGAAAAAGTATGATTTTATTTTACAGTAAGATTCACCTATAAAAAAACACGAGGGTCACTCAAAGTAGAGACTTATGTTAGCAGTGAACGATAACGGTTGCTGATGTGTACGTGTGTATGTGCGTGTGTATGTGTGTTTGTAGGTGTGTCAAGCCGATGCAATTGATTAATCATTGAATTAGTTGCATTTACATGAAAGGAGATTTTGTCCAAAAGCAAATATTATTGCTATAGATCAATTCCCTGAATGTAACTCTTTATCCTGTATGGCGACTTCGTGCTCACATGTCGAAGAAAATACCGGAAAAATAATTTTGCATATAATCAGTCTTATTTTATATTGAACATAGAATAGGTTTTGCTAGATTTAGTAGCGCCAACAGAAAGCTTTCGATACACAAACAGAAAATTAATAGAAAGATTCTAGTCATCCACTTGAATCAAACTCCTCACACCAAACTTGTTCAGAAATATCGAAACTGTCAATTGTATACAACCGCTTTGTCGGAACAATGGTTAAAAATGTCTTTGAGCAATGTGAAGCTGTAAGTCTTAACGGGTACCATTCTTCAAATCTTGCGGACTGACGTTGCAGAATCACAAATAATAGATAGTGCCAAATAAAATAAGGCACATCACTTGAGGACTCTCAGCAGCAACAATAAGTAAAGTTCATAATAAGACGCTGACATTCCACAGGAAATCAAACAAAAGGTCTATAAGGAACCACCCCCCGCTGAATTCTATAAAGGCAGATAACAGTTATAAGACTTGAGAACACATTTCCCTGAAAAATGTTTTGAAGAGCATAATTTTATAAATGTCATCATATATTAACCCTGCTTTGTCAATGAATATTAAACATTTCCTCATAAACTGTCGATATTTCTGAGATGAGGTATTATGCACATTATTTATATTACTCGGACTGTTCTCCTCATCTTATTCGCCACATTTATTATAACGTTTCGGCCATTGTATGCTCCAGGATTCTTCAGGTGGTTGGAATGTCGAACTGAACCCCTTATTTCCTCAAGGGCACATGGCACAGTGGATAAAGTCGTTATTTAGATCCAGTGACAAGACCCAAAGAGTGTGAGTTCAATACCTGGTTAAGGCGGTGGAGAACTTGGAGAGAGAATTAAGCTGGAGATAACTGATAAGTGACATCCATTAGACATGGCACGTGGAACTAGAACAGTCTACCCCAGTGAGCGAAATAAAGGGTTCTGTTCGACATTCCAACCACCTGAATAAGGCCGGAGCGTACAACGGCCGAAACGTTGTAATAAATATGGTGACAAAGATGAGGACAATAGTCCGAATAATATAAATTGTGTAATTTCCTTATAATGAAATGACTAAATCTAAAATTACCATTAACCTGAGTGGATTAATATAAAATAAAAAAATATATGACAAAAATATATATATATATATATATATATATATATATATATATATTTTTTTTTTTGTCACGTGGTATGATTTTAGCTATCACCTATAAATATGTGTTTCTCTTTGACTCGTTTTGCTTTCCCTGACGATCCGTTTAGGTGAAACCTAGGTAGGTTTGTCTGGCTCACTAGGTGTATCTAGGTCTGCTCTACGATTGTATTGAGCTCGTTTGTTAGTTAGTTGTTACTCGTATCGGGGTTTTTCTTTTTGGGCTTCAGACCTGCATCTGTGCGATTTTTTTGTCGGCAGAAGTTCATGTTTGTAGCTCTTTCTTTTTTAAAACTTTTTTTCCTCGAAATTGATTTGATTAACAAATCAAAAATTCGAGGGTTTTTCGAAACGAGTCTAGTTATCTATCTATCTATCTATATATATATATATATATATATATATATTGTTGTATTGTTTCATTTTGACAGGTGTTCATGAGTCAACGTCATAGTAAGGTCTTATTTACCTTGAAATTTAGTCAATAAACCGGTATAATAAAACACATTTTAATGCCCAGGTGGTGGGTTTCACAAATAATGACTTCAGCGTTGGTTGCCAATCTGGCGTTCTATGTTTGTTCGCCGATACAGAATCTGGCCTTTCTTCATTCTTATAAATAGGAAGTGACTTTATTTATTAGGGTTTAAAAACCGGTTTTCAGGGTGAGATTCCTTTAGGCACTTTCTTCTTTTAACTGTACATTCGAATATTAAATTGTTTATAATGCTTTCATTTTTCAGTATGTTTCGATAACGCCACTTTTATTTCCGTTTTTTTCCTTGATTTCTGTATGTTTTTTAATATTTTTTTATTTTTTCTTTCCTCCGAATTTTTCTTTATCCTTTTTTTTGTATGTTTTTAAAATTTCTTTATTTCTCAAGATTTTTTCTTTATCATTTCTTGTATGTTTTTAATGTTTTTATTTCTTTCTCTAGATTTTCTTCGTCATTGTTTCTAATTCTTCATTTTTCCTGAATTTTTTCTTCATCTATTTTTTGTGCGTTTTTAATTATTTTTTTTAATATCTACATTTCTCCTGATTTTTTCTGTATCCACTTTTTTTATGCTTTTAATATATTTTTTTATTTCTTCATTTTTCCTGATTTTTTTCTTCATCCATTTCTTGTACCATTTTAATTTTTTTTTAACATCTTCATTTCTCCTGAATTTTTTTTCTGCATCCATTTTTTTTAATGTTTTTTTTTCATATTTTAATTTTTAATAATTTAGTATTTTTGGTTTCTTTCTTTCTCCTGATTTTTCTGTTCCTACGTTTTAATATTTTTTTCATTCCTCCTGAATTTTCCTTCATTCATTTTCTTTACTATTATGATTGTTTCTTTTAGCAATCATTTTTCTTTCAATTCATTTTCTTTTTCTCCAGTCGATCATTTCCCTTTCTTTCATCTTTTCTTTTATTGCTTTTATGATGACGATATTTTTATGACGGCCATTTTTCTTTTCTTTTTTTTTAATCTTAGCATTACTTTCTTTTCCTTTCTATTATGTCCTCTCTCTCATTTTCCTCTATTTCTCTTCACATTATTTACTTTCCCCTCTAACTTGTCTTTATCTTTACTTATCGCCCTTCTAATTTTTTTATAGGTTTAACTTAATGTCAATGTTCATATTCATTTTTCTTTCTTTTTATTTTATTTTTTCCCATTTCTGTCCATTTTCTTCGTTTCAATTTTCTTATTGCTTTTTTTTCATCCTCCAATCCTTCTCTCATTTAATAGCCTCCCCCCCTTTTTTTACAATGAAACATTTTACTTGTTATTTTCTTTCATTTATCCTCATTTTCATTTATTCTTCATTCTTCCTTCATTCATGTCATTTTTACTTTACATTTCTATAATATTCCATTTGAATACTTTCATCTTTCTCTTCTTCTCTCAAACTTCTTTTCCCTCCTTTTTTCTTTCATTTCTAGAGTTTTCATTTATTGCCTCATTTTTTTTCCTTTATACAATTTTTGTTCGGCTGGATACGTTTCATTATTATTTCTTTTATTCGAGACCACCAATCATTTTGTTAACAAAAATAAAAAATAAAAAAAATGAGGGGAAAAGAAACATTCCTGCTTGTCTCAATTCTCTCCTGATTTCTACTTGAACCCTCGTATACATCAAAACTCAAGGTCGTATAAAAAATGCTGAATTCATTAAACACTGTTTGATGTTATCAAATTTCTCCAGAGAAAGAAAGAAATTGACATCAAGGAAATATTGGCTACTAAATTACGAAAATCTGACATGCAGCCTTTTTATGAAGTTGATAGGAAATTTAGCTTCTGAATTATCTGAGTTCCTCAGAATACTACACACACACACACATATATATATATGTATGTATATATCCGGTGTAACAGCAAAACTGTCCAAATCTGGTAACATCAAAATTGTCCAATTGTTAGAGTAGGATTTGAATCGTTGTATCTTAGAAATGATTAAATATATCTTACTGGAATGCTCGGAGGTTTTTATGACACTACTGGACTCTACTTTGAGCATAAAAATCTATAATTACTCTCTCAGCTTAACAAAAGTATCGTGATGTAATCGATCATAAGCGAAAATGACATGTTCACCATTAATTAATCATAGTTAATGATCGGAAGCTATTGAAATAAATTTCCAATGCATGTACATATATATATATATATATATATATATATATATATATATATATTATTTCAGGATCATTTTCCAACTTATTCAAGATGATCTTCGCTCTCTCTACCATTCTAACTTTCTGTCCTGGTGTAAAAAGTGGCCTCACACGTCTCACGTACGATTTCATTTTCAAATATGTTTTTCACGGCTCTTTTGAACTGTAATAGCTGAAACTTCTCTCTCATGTTTCAAACGTTTCATGAATCGAGATGGACCTTTTCTAATTGATCTATAAGCTCTAATTTGAAATGATGATCCATCTTCCTGTGGCTTTCAAGATATTACACATTTTGTGGGATAGAAAATTATACCATGGTTTTATACAATTTTGAAAATTTTGCTGTTACACCCGTTTAAATGATTACTTGTGACGCGTTTCGTCATTCAGGATTTCATCGGACTAAATTCCTTGGTGTGACTACACATGACCATGGCAGAGATGTGCTGGGAATTTTAGGTTTTCTTCCTTAATCTATCGTAATAAATTGAGACTTTTTTTTTTTGCTTCCATCACTTTTGTAAGTAGGTGTTCCACACTGTGATATTAGATGACCTGTAAGGAGTGATGGCATGTTGTAAGAGCCAGGGGTCAAATTTACTGCAGATGGCCCGGCGATAAATGTACTTTCTAGACGATTTTATTTTCAAATATGTTTTTCACGGCTCTTTTGAACTGTCATAGCTGAAACTTCTCTCTCATGTTTCAAACGTTTCATGAATCGAGATGGACCTTTTCTAATTGATCTATAAGCTCTAAGTTGAAATGATGATCCATCTTCCTGTTGTAACCTCCCGATACACTTTTCCTATATGCTATTCCCACTTTTTAAAAATTATTCACCGATCTCTTGATCGTTCTTGAATGGTCTTTGAAGTCAGGGTATGAATAGTGGTACCTTTACTGAAGGCCTGAATGATCTAATTCTTCTCACTATTGCTTATTTGGGAAGACATTGGGTCTGACACAAAACGAGTTTAACTTGTTCTCTGAATTACTCAAATGGCTTTGTAGTCATTCTTACGACGTATGGTTTCACTATGGTTAAGCTTTTTATCTGAAAACCTAGAAAAAGAAACTAAGTTTATTTTGTGGCTTTCTAGATATTACACATTTTGTGGGATAGAAAATTATACCATGTTTTTATACAATTTTG